CTAAACCCTAAACCGTGTTGAATCCCCCGTCTGCCAAGTTGAGGACCAGACGCGCTTTCACTGCACGGCAAAGGTGAACTGTGTCGACATCTTTGTCAGCCACTCCTGGTCAGCCAATGGCTGGTTAAAATACTTGGCCGTGTGTTGCTTTTTGAACTTCGGTATAGCCAAGAAGGCCACTGCTGCCGCTGCTGTCTTTTCAAGTCTCTTGGTATTCTTACTCCCGGAACTGCCGACGTGGCTGGTATTCTGCATGATGCTAGATGCCCCAGTGCTCATCTTCTTTGTGTTCTTCTTGTATGGGCAGAACTTGACATGCGGGCTATGGTGTCCAAGCATGTGGGTAGACAAGCTCTGCGTGGAACAGGGCGATGAGAGCAGGAAAGCAGCAGGACTTGCTGGTCTGCCGACCATTGTTCAATGTTCTGGTCGCATGCTTGTCCTATGGGATGACACGTACTTCGAAAGGTGGCTTGTACCATAAGGGTCTGAATAGTTAGCAATATTCAGCCCTCCCTGTAAGTTCGAATGGTGCAATACCACCCCAGATTACATAGTTACATCACAATTTTGTCTCTTGTTGAGCTTCTCTGGGCTGTACGCCAACCTCTTTTCGCACCGTGATTCCCCCTAAACCCTACTCTGAGGTTGTGGTGCAACTTCGAGTTGGCCATTTTCGCGAAGTACCGGGGTCTGAAGAACTTTCGGTTTTTGCCCGCGTCTAGGTATGAATTTTTGAAAATGTTTTCGATATCTTCAACAGAGTACTTCAAGACTCCCTGTAGTAAGTACAAACAGAATCTGGGGTTCCATCAGAGCATTTTTAAGGACCGACTTGGGATAAGTGTTATGTCTCTTTTTCTTAAGAAACAATCCCCAAGCATACTTGTTCTATGTAGTTTCCTTTTTTGTCACATACTGGACCCCAACTATACATGAATTTGGGGGCTGTTGAAATCGGCACACAGGTGTGGCTGCCACCCTGGATACTGATTGGCGTGCTGTTCTCATACCTACTCTGGCGGCTCATTGCCACATTGCAGGAGCCCCCTAAACCCTGAACCCTAGTCCCTAAACCCTAGACCCTAAACCCTAAACCGGGCAGGAGCTAGAGCCGGAGTACGGTATAGATGATACTGCCAAATACGCAGCAGCTGCTGGCGACAAGGTTGCTTTTGGGACGCAACGAGTGCTAAAGATCTTGACGGACCTTGAAACCTATGCTGTGTTAGAAATGCCTTTCTTTGTCGTTGCCGTGGTTCTACTACGCAGCAAGCTGGATGGTCACCGTTCTTTGCTGGGGAATATGCTGAAATTTGACATCCATCGTGCGACTTGGTAGAGCAAGTAACCTTTAACGTTTTTGAGGTTCTCTAACCCATATATAAATCCTGGGCTACCTTATTCCCCAGAGTCTAGTCATCACAGGCAAAGTGCTCGGTTGAAGATGACCGGGAGGTGATTGAGGCCCAGGTAGCCAGACTCTATGCCACAGACGAGGAGCCGGTCATAGCCCTGGACAGCCTCGAGGGGCAAAAAGCCGCTGAGGCTGTGAGCTCGATTCCTCTCAGCCCCGGTTCTTCCGAGGAGTCGGTCATAGGCGACAGTTTATTTCTAGCGGAACAACCGGAACGAGATGGGGAGGGTTATGCACGCCTCCCGGCAGAGGCGGATAAGTCACAGATGTCACAGCTTGGGGTAAGCTCAATGCACAGCGAGTCCGTGCTCGAGTATCCAGTCATAATGGCCGCGAGCTCAATCACGAACTCATCATTTTTGGCACCAGTCGCAGCTGCAGTGAGTGATGCAGGGTCAGACTATCCCCTGATGGGCGTTGACATGTTTGCATGGGAAACTGAAATTGAGGGCAAAGCTTATGATTCGCAGCCGGATGAGGAACGGCTTGCGATACAAGGCGATGTCGATCGAGAAGACTGCCTGCAGGCGTTCAATGAGCTCGTTCGTTTCCAACTACGTGCTGCGATTGTTGAAGAACTGGGTCTTGAAACAGACTTGCCTTGGGGCGACTGTTTGATAGTATACATGCCGGCTGTACTGTCCGCAACAGCCATCACATGGGCTGCGAGAGACCTTTACGCTGGACTTGGTTTTTCTTCCGTGAATCAATACCTCTTCGTAAACCTGGCGCAAATCTCCCTGGCATTGTTCTGCAATCCTTTAGCATACGCTCTGCTGCTGCGAGGAATGAATTGCATCACGCCTACAGGGAGTGCCGGGCGTTTGCATGGTTTGGCGTGGCTGGCGTGTGGCGTGCTGGGGGAGATCTTCGTTTGCGCCCTTTACGCAGTCGCCTGTGGGACACTCGAAAGCTATGTCTTGACACAACATCCTATGTTTCTGCTTGGCTTCCTGGCGAGCTTATCCTTTGCGCTGGTGCTGAACTGGATCTTGTTCTGGGGTACCTGAGCATGTAACAGCTAGCGCAGAGCCAATCGGCTAGAATTTAAGCTGGCGTGTTCTTTTCAAGCGATGTCTTCATTTGTTGATGCTTTTTTGCCACTTTTGCCATTTTTGCCCGTGCCGATGGACCGCTATCGGTGTCTCCTGAGTTGGTCTGGAGGCATGGTCGTGTTTCACGATCAAGATCACATATCCGGAAAGGATTTTCGGTGTTTCACAATATATTGCCACAAATGCTCGCTTTGAAGGGTTTGAGGATGGGTGCCCCCCTTAGGCCTTCGAATAGGTTTCGCCCAGAACCATCTGCAAGACCTACTTCGCTCAGTTTGTCTGGGTCTGGAAGTTGCGAGAAATGTTCGATTTAGAAGTGGTTTGTGCGTGCATTAGCACCCTGGACTACAACGAAGGCCCTAATATGAGAGGGCTCGAATGGATCCACGTTGAGACGCAAGCCGCTATTATCCTAAGCCCTTATTACCCTACCCATAGGCCCCATAGTAGTTCCTTTTTGGGATGACCTTACAGGATTCTAAACATGAGCCCCAAAAAGGAACTACTATGGGGCCTATGGGTAGACATCAAACCCTAAACCCTAAACACCCAAAAAAGCCTAAACCGTGTCCCGATGTTGGTCAGCTTCCGTCTCGCCATGAGGTCCCGAAGCTTCCCCGGAGACTCTAAAGCCCCTTAATTCAGGAGTATACCTTATACATTATTCTTGGGACCCTAAACCCTAAACCGTATATTAAGGCGTGTTCCTTCCTTAGGTGGCTTTGAAGTCTCTGGGAACATGTTCTGAGTGCCGAGATTCGGGCTTTGAAGCGTTTCTGCCCCCTTCAACGGCTCCAGATTGGGCGCCCTAAATCCAAATCAATCTCTAAACTCTAAACCCCTAAACCCNNCTAAACCCTAAACCCTTGACCCCTGAGCCTGACATAGGGAGCGGGAGCAGCTAATTACGATATAGAATCTACTTGACTTAAAACCTTACAACTGTGAAGGCAATTGCCGTCAATCTCACTCTGAGTCTAAGTACAGACCACAAGCCTCCAATCGTAAAACTTCAAAAATCAGGAAACTTTTATATGGACCCAAAGTGCCAATCTCCTCACCATATATAAAGACCCTCAGAAGGGCACCCCCCCAAGTTTCCAAGAGCCCCCGTCCCGCCAAACGAGCCCTAAACCCTAAACC